AGCCAGCAAGGGGAATTCTGGGAGTTGAAGTCCACCCATCTTAAAGTTGCCAAGGTTGAGGAACCCTGATCTAAAGGATATTATGAAAGTCTTCCTCAGCCTTTTGCCTACACTCAAATGTAAAAGATGAATGAACTTTGCCATCCAGGAATAAGACAAGAGTCTAGTACAGATGGCAGATTTTTAACTCAGCAATCTCACTGCATCGGAACTGCATCCCTGTCCTAAATCTGTATTACGACCTACTTACTGCTCATAAATACTTCAGCTAAGGCAAAAGTTTAAGCAAGATGCGGAAAACCAAGTCGTATTTCCGACATTTAGAGACAGAGGGAAAAATGAGGTACAAGGAGAAACTTAGGTCATTAATTCAGAGGATTAAAAAAAATCCATTCCATTTTGGAAAACTTCGAGTATAATTACTTAGGTGAAGGTAACATAAAATAAGCATTGTGAAAAATTTAGTAGACCCACTGATTTCTTGAAGAGTCCCTGCATAACAAAAGAATATAAAATGAAGTGTAGAATATAGCCTATTAAGAAAATACAGTGACTCCAGTTTCAGTATGCCCTAATGTTCATTAGAAATATTTGGTTCAACTTACCAATTTTCTCTTCTCTTTAAAATCAATCTTCATTTTTTTAGTCTTCTCCAGAGCAGTCTCCAATTTATTTTTAAGGTCAATGGCTTGTCTTAGGCGATCATCACTTATCCCAGCCCTTGTGAATAACTACAAATTGCAAATTAGTTAGTTCATCTAAGATGACCTACACGTTTCACATGCCACTAGAAAAAATAATAGCAATTTGCAGTACTTAGCAACTGACGGTTCATCTATACTTTCCATACAGAGAGGTTTATTTCAAATCAGCAAAAAGAACACAGGGAAAAATAAGGAGCTAAAATCTAACATGTTTTAAAAGCATCCAGCTACAAATAAGCCATAAACCTGAAATTTAGGACTGACATACTTATGACTCCAAATAAATTCAGTAGGACTTGCTGTAGCTCAATCGTATATATATCTACTCTGAAGTAAGACAGATCAGTAGCTAAAGTGATCTTCTACTTCATTTGTTACTTGCAGGTACAGATAATCACCTGTACAAAACAGCAACTAAAATGGAATAACACACTTTTTCTGCCCTGAACAGCCCTGCCAGATTTGCTCCAGAACACAAAACAACTCCATTCCACACTCCATCCAGAAAATATGTGTTTTGTTCAGTGCACAGAACATTAAAAACTGGCTGTCCCATGCAAGCAAGATTTGCAGAAGGAATGCTTTGCATATTCCTAGTACAGAGGTTTTCATGATACATAGGAACTTGGTTCACTCAGATAAAAAGCCTGGCTAAACCAGTAGCTTTTTATTTTTTAAAATTTATTTTTCCCCCTTCTGTACAATCTCTGTACCGTTCATAGTTACTCCGTGAAAGTTTCTAATGGAATTGACCCCTCTCCTTTCATTGTTCCTCAAACCACCATATATAAACCAAAATAAGGACACAAAGATCAAAATTAAAGTGCTAAATGTATTTTAAGTGATGTATAATAATACAATAATAATAATTTATTAAATTGAAATGCCACCTGACTCCCAGCAACTCTGGACAGCAGTATTACAATATCCAACTGGTGTACTCAGATGAAATTCCAGCTGGAACGGTATCAAAGAACTACAATTTTTGGAAAAAATTAATTAGGTAAAGTGTCTTAGCCTCTGATCAGCTGCAAATTAGAGCAACTGAGACCAAATTCAGCAGAACTATCGGTGAAAACTTTATACTTAATACCTGTGAAGGAATGGTTGGATGAAGGGCGCGCTCGGGGGGCTAAGGGAATGCTTAGCCCCCCGAGCA